TTTAATTTCCATTTGTCGATTATTTATTAATAATTGTGTATGCAAATAAACCTGTTTTCTAGAAATCTTCAACTATTTTCAATGCTTTTATTTCTCAAGGTCCTGGACATAAGTTTTCTTTTCCGAATATTTTGTAAGATTACAATACATTATTTTGAAACATGAATAAATCAATTCTCAAATACCTAAACTACATCAATTGCGAATTAATGAACCGCATAATTGTCACATTGTCTTCGAATAATTCAATTTCCAATCAAATAAATCCAAATTTAAAATGAAAGTACACGAAAGTCAAATGCAGAAATTTAACCAGATGATCACAGTTGTATGATTCTAGTTTGAATAATAAGCAACTACAATATGTAAATAAGGAATAATAATGTGATCTAATGATAATTCATATTCGCTTGAATAAACAGTGTACAGAGAAAAATTTTTATCTGTATTTAAATCCCGTATACTATTAAGATTTATATCGTATGAAGAATTATACCAAGTAAAAAACTGAAAATTTTAATTGAGTAGACATTTTGCCATGGCATATGAAGTATTGGAGTATCACTGGGGGTCGGGGGAGTATCCTAAGGTGATAAAAATAAATTTTTTTCGTATTATGAGATTCTCCAATTTTCCTATGAATTGTAAATTGTTCCTATATAATTTGTAGGTAGGTAATATATTATGTATCTTAATCTATTTTTAGACAGTAGTTTTGATTTATCCAAATTTGAGAAGGTTGTGAGAATAATAGTCCAAAATTAAGGGGGGGGGGATGTATTATGATGTGACATTATTATAGTTCGTAATATTAATAAAATATTAGAATTTTTTAATCTGTAAAAATTGTCGAAGCACCATAAGTACTTAACTATAAATAATATATAATATATTTTATATGCTTATATGCAAAACAATTATTGAGATTTATGAACATTGGTACACAAAGTTTAACAACGCAGAAATTAATCATTCAAAATTCAATTAAAATGCATAATCGTTTTCAAAAACGGAGGATACCTACTCGTTAAATGGTGTGAAAAATCTAAGATCTGATAATATTATGTAATAAATTAACAACTTTACTAAAAAATACTAAAAGTAAAAATGTGAGTAACTGCATTATTCGAGGATTTAATGGTGGTGAAAATGCTAGAAGAATCACTGTCCATAATATTATATATTTATTTATATTTTTTTATTAGCGACGAAAAAAAGATATACGAAAATAAAATAATGTTTTAAGAAACCGTCCATGCTCTAATGAAAGTTACTTTATTTCTTTCCCTTCTACAAAGTAACATTTTAATATGATAATGATACAATGATTTACACAGTATTGGTGAAACTTAAAGTGTAGAATCATAGGCGCAAATAGTGTTTGAGATTTGGAGGGGGGAGGCTAAATCCTAACCTTGATAATATTGAATAAGCTTAGAACAAAATGTAGGATATGTTTTTTGAGGGGGAGGGGGCTAGGTCCCTAAAGCCCCCCTTCTATTATTTGCACCTATGTAGTAAAGTGCACGACTAATGAAAAATTAATAAAATATCAGAATGTGTATTATACATGTCTGTCAAGTTGGCACCGGCACATTAACTATGACTACGCAACTGATTTTACCAATTTGCTAGGATTTTGCTAGATTTTGGTATGCAATTTTTGATTTTTCCTAGGAACCCTACTATACTTGGGGGAGGTTACAAATCTGAAGTCAGCACCGGCAAATTGGTTGATTCCAAAAAAATATTGCCAAATTAATCAGCCAAATTTACTACATTTTGCTTGGTACGGCATTTTTGAATTTTTCTTGGCCACTAAAACTTCGGAAAACCATACAGAAACATGTTGGTGCCAACTTTGTGGGAGAACCACCACATTGTCTGATTCCAAAAAGAATTATACTCCTTTGTTCAGCTGAATTTGCTAGTCTTTGAAAGGGCGTTTTTGAATTTCTCTGGGATCCCTGCTTCCCTCGGCTGGGGTTTCAAATTTGGTGTCAACACCGGATCTTTGTTCAATTCCCAAAAATATAACAACAAGTTCTTCAGTCGAATTAGCCATTTTTTATTTAATTAGTTTTTTTTTATTCAATACAGATTTTTTTTATTAAATAAAGATATTTTTAATAAATATAAAATTGATAACTGAAAAAACTAAAATTTTAATTTGGATAAAAAGACAGGTTGTATAAAGAAAAATCAATATTTAATATAAAATCTAATTAGAATAAAATAGTCTAAAATAAACGAAGAGATATTATTTAACTGACTTGGACGTCATTAATGCCATCAAATGGTTCCAATGAACACCAAATTGTCGCCAAATGGTTGCTAGCAGAAACCAAATTGATGCCGAAATATCAACAATTTGTCACCAAATGATTGCCAAATTGTCACCAGAAAAACATCAAATTATTTGTTTTGGTAGCATACATGTAAATAGCGCTAGAGATTTGGGTAGGCTGATCCCTGAAGATATAGTATTAAAATATTCAATAAGCTTATAAAAAATGTAGAAAATGTTTAGGAGGGTTGTCACAATTTTGGGTGTAGCCTCTATAAATACCCCATTTGCGCATATTGTTCGTTTGTAGTATTTGTTACCATTTTTGCCATCTTTTGGGTAACCGTTTGGTGAAAATTTGACAATTTAGAGTCCTATGGCAACAAGTACAAGTTATTGACAATTTTCGTCCTTTGGCAAAATGGTTTCCAGATGATGCAAAATTAATTTTAAAAAAAAAAGTATTAGTATAATATATATACTATAATACTATGGATATTTTTTTATTAAATTGGAGTTAAGTCAACAAGGCTTTTTATCCAATTAAAACTGTATTTATTTAATTAAGATTTTTCTTAATACTTGATAAAATATCTTTATTTTATATAAAAATCTAATTAGAATTAATAATCTAAAATGGTTAAAAAAAATATAATAGAATCAAAAAATCTGTATTGAATAAACAAAGGTTAAAATGAATTTTTTCGAAAATCTTTTGTCAGAATAATTTGGTATAATTTTGTTTTAGAATCGTTTTATGTTTGACATTTTCCTCAAAAAAGTAGAAGTCCTAGCAAAGTTCAAAAATGAAGTAGCGCAAAATCGGCTGATTAATTTAGCAATATTTTTTGGAATCGAACAATGTGCCGGTGCTTATTCCAAATTTTTACCTCCCCCCAAGGGTTGCAGGGTACCTTTTGGAATATGTACAAGCGGTGTCACCTTATTTTCTCTATATCATGGTCCACGTGGTGTTAATTATTGCACCGTAGCAGTGTAGCAACAATATTACTTAATTGTTGTAGTCCATAAAATGTATTAATTCATGTCTTATGACCATGTTATGATATTAGTTTACTATTTAGTATTTTAAGTGTCAAGGGTGGTGGGAGGGAGGTGGGTCCACCCGCTTCGTTGCACCACTGTTGTACATAGGTATATAAATACTATATTTAATACTATATTTATATACCTAGGTACAGTGGTGCAATGAATTACGCATTTATTTAAATTTATTTATTGAATAGTAACATGCGTGATTAAGCATAGAATATTTTAACAAAATAAGTATGTATTAGAAGCACCTGGACTATAACAATTTCTTATTGTATATTATATTCATAAACATTTTTATAAAGCTTTTGTAACCATTTTAATTGTAAATATATTTTAATCATATCATCACTACACTATTATTGGAAATAGGTACACTCATATTGCGTTGGGTTTATTAACATAATGTTTTGTTAAGAAGTAAAATATGAAATTCAGTGGTTACATGAATGTATAATATCTACGTATATTGTATAGTAAATAGTAATATTTACAAAAGCGTACAAGCCCTATAATTAGAGACGGTTTGTATAGATATTAAATGGTAAATATAGTTGAGTAATGATAATATATTAAATATATGTAAATAAATGAAAATATATGTAAATTTTACATCTATTTATAACAAAATAATATACTAAAATGTAATACACTAATAAAGAAGAGCCAGACTGTCTCACGTAAAACCACAAAAAGGTACGATCACGAATTAAGAAATCAGCAACAGACTTGCAACAGTACAGCGTAACGGCGTGCGGTTTTCTTATATGTGACCAGAGAAATAGAATGACCGATAAAGGTCTATGCCTCCAAAGTCTAGTTCCCGGATGTTCAAAAGACCTTTGATAAAGCTGACTTCTACTCTCTGGTTAGCTCATCCATGTCGTCCCTTTAACCAGTACACGAGCAGCAGCTATCTCAGTAACAACCTCCCAATACCGAATCCTACGAGCGACAACTGGATTCCTTATGACGAGAAATAATCAATGTGTGTTCATTATTTCAATTTATGTGTTTTGAAGTAGTAACTTTGTGTCGTATAAAACTGCTACAGCATAGTTCAAAGACAGCTACGAGTCAGGTAAGATATTTAATATAATATTTTATATTGATTGCGAATATGAGCACTTTGCATAAAATTATATTGTGTGGTGTATTTGATTAGATTCTCGAATATACGATATGGAGAGCAATGGAAACACCTGCAGGAAGGTAATAGCGTGATTTTAATATTTGCATCTGGTATTATTCGCCAACACTTATAATTGTGCAGAATCATAAAAGTTCTTAGTTTTAATTAAAAGATCTTCAGCCGACAACTAGTAAATATAAATCCTAATACGAGTTAGATATGTGGTGGTCGAGGTAATGTTGAACATTGTTTGGTAGCAAAGTCTCGGTATCTCAATTCGGTGTATTTGTGGATCAAAATTGACTGTCCTACTTCAAAAAAAAAATTAAATATTTTTCACATAAATTTAATTATACCGAATTTTTTACTCGTGCTGGCTAAATTATACCATGCATGTCCATGACAAAAAACTTGGACCAAAAATAACAAAACATAAACAAATAATTCAAAATTTAAATTTAAAAAAAAAATTTCCCCACACGCGCTCCAATTAGGAAAACATACTTAGCGATAACACACCGACACAGTATGTGCACGGATGGTAAAAACATACAGAAGCTGCTCAAGAACGAAAGCGAAATTAAGAAGAGCACACAGACACCGTTGAAAGAAAACCAGTCGTGTTTCGAAGATGACGATGAAGACGAAGAAGACCAGGATCTCAAAAGTTACAATAATAAGGGCACCGGGCTGGAAATGACCCGGTCATCGTGTGCCGATGACATTTTGATGAAGACACTGGTCGCGAAGTATGCCAATCGGTTGATGGGCAAGCTGGAAAAGATCGCCCTTAAAGTGCCACCTAACAGCAATCCTGCGGACGCGGTTGTGCGGTTGCGCAGAAGGATACAGCGGTTGCTCAAGGACATAGATCAGGTGGGTGGTCCGTGTGACTCTTCGACCGTACTTCTGAACAAGTACGACTGCCTCCGCATGGCTTACTACACTATAGCCGACGGGATCAAAGGAACAACAAGACTGCCGTCCGGTCAGGGCTTGTTAAATAACCGTAAAAACTGCGATAAAATCAAAAAATGCAAAGTGACCGACAACAGTAAGAAACTCGACCACCAAGAAAAACGGATTAACTGTGAAAACCACTATAAGCTTGAGAAACTGCAGAATTGCGAAAACGAGAAACTCGAAAACCTTATGAAATTTGATAACCTGCAGGAAAGACTGGACAACTGTAGAACCCCTGATAAACAGGAGAACTGTGAAAATAACAAAAAACCGGAAAACCAAGAGATATTTCAGGCAGGTGAAAAATTCAAAAACCTTGAGAACCGCTTGTTCAACTGTAAGTATTGTGGAATGGGCACGAAGCTCTGTGATATGACGTGTGATTCAAAAATTCATCCACACAAAGATAACTGTCAGAAAAATGTCTTCGAATGGAAATCGTTTTTCAAACGTCGATTTTTCATTTATTTCCCGTGTGTATGTTGCATGTGTGATAAGTTTGTCTGAACCACTCGGGTTGGATGGCGTTCAAGTGTTGTTGGTCGGGCGGTATCAACGAGTGGTTTTTACCATGGTGGTGATAGCAAATAAGACTGAATTAACGAAAATTGAGTTTTAAATATTAATATGCTACACCGATTATCAAGTCCATCACACACGTATCTCCTTAATAACTAAATATTTAAAAAAAAATTGAGGATATTATATAGTTATTTTATGTCAATTTGTATTTTTTTTATTTGTTTTTATACCAATCACAATAATTGTCACAGTCATTTTGTTTCAACCTTTCCTGATACTTTTTTCACTATACGATGAGTAGACTTACAATTGAAATTGAAACAATTACAATTGTCTACAGAATTCCAGTCATAACTTTTCTAGTGAATTTAGGAAATTTTTTAGTCATTAACCATTTTCACATTACCCAAAATAATTTTTTGGTTAAAAGCTGATCGGGAGCAACGATGTAGAACTCCTGTAATCCTGTCTTAAGCTAACTTGTTGTTTAAAACAATATAATGTAATTTAGTGCAACAACAAATTAATGGTTCGACAGAATATAATATAATCGCAGCTGATGATAATATGGCTTGACAGAATTAAGACGAAGGTAAATCAGAGAGGATGATGACGTGAACTAATTCGAATTTTTTTTTGGCCTTTTTTGAGGCTTCTATAATGCTGTTGTTTACTTGAATCAAAAACTGACAACATCGAATTTCAGATTTCAGTGTGTTATTCATACATTTTAGGTTTATGTTAAGGCATCGAATTCACAGTAATAAACTATTTGATCGGTGACTGAAAAAAAAAATAATAACAGTTACACGCACGTTCCTGAATATATTATATATATATATATATTTTTTTTTACAAACAGTTGTTTTATACACATATTATTAAAAATGACTAAATACACTAAATTTTAATGGGTAACAACCAGTAAAAGAGTACACAAACCAGAATAATAATACATCTTACATCTTAACTTCGTAATATTATGAAAGAGCATACCGAAATATAATCAATTAAGTTAAAATAAAATATTTATTATGGGTCTAAACATGGTATGGTAACATAATATAAAGTGTCATTCCATATGCATAAAAACATAACAATACAATATTATAATAATAATTTTACATTTAATTAATGTCTAAATATGTTTATTTCAACTGTAGAAAGATATGATCATTTTATTATTTATCTAAATACATCCAACATAAAACAAAGAAAAACATGAATAATTCTATATTCATCAATAATATGAAATACAATAATACTTATTAAGCTTCGAACACATTTTGAAATAGTTGGGAATGTGTTTATAACTCAGTAATTAAAGCTAGACATTTTTTATAGCAAATTAATTCTACATTTCTTTAAACTGCAGACTGCTAATGTAATACTTATCTAAAATTATAAAATACACATTTTTTGGTATTTCATAAATGCCAATATGCATTATTGTCAGGTTCAAAAAACCATTGGACACTGCTTTAATCGACGATTACGAAGACAACACATTCAAGTTTAATTCATTTTGATACAATTACTAAATTTATTTACACACCTGTTACTCAATGTAATAATATTTAACTGACCATTATAAATATTTATGTATTTAGGTAATAGGTAGTTATTATTTTTATTTTATTTTTTGTATATATTTTACTCTGATGTAAATTACATCAAGTGATATTTAACTTAAGGGTAAGTGGTATATAAATAGACGATACTGTAAAAATTAATTAAACTTGTAGGTATTGAATAATGTGAATCAACTGGTTATACTCGATAATATATAATAATGAAATACTGTTTGTTTTAAAATAAAACCTAATTTTAATTAATTGCTAAAAAAAGTCATTGCTTGAACGAGTCCATTGAATAATATATACCTAACAATATTTCAACGTAAAATATATGTTATAGAAATAGTTATTTTATAGAACAAGTAAACCTCGAATTAATGATTAAGAAAGTAGACCGTTCTAAATACACTTGTGGTTTTAAATTAAAATTATTATTTTTTGTTCTCAGTAAGAAATCATTTAAATTATTTGTGACATTAACTATTTAAGAATCGATTGTAATAAATGCCTATTTCCAACTACCTATTCAATACACAAACAATATGTTTTATCCTCTGCAAATTTTATGAAATTATTACTATATTATAATATACTGAAATATTATTTTACAGATTTGTAAATCGTTGCCAAATTTGAGCGGTGTCAATAAAATAAAATATAAATGATAAACTCTATTGGTTCTGCATAATGTCATCTGTGATAATACATTAGTGAGGCTTAGAATGGCATAGTACACAAGCTCCTTTCCTGTTGGAAATGTTTTGCACCTATCTTATTTTTTTGTGGCATGTTCTCGGATGGAAAACCATCCGATGATATATTTTCAAGGAATCTGCCATGTCCTATAACACTCCTCACAAACAATCATTGATATAATTATAGGGCTACATTCGTTTGGGTGAACTTATATTTGACCTTATTTGGGTGAGTTTTAATTATAATATATTATGTCGTTTTGCTGAAATAGTATATAATATATATTATGCATAACGTACCTATCTAATACATTTCCAAATTTTTGAGGATTCAGTGTTTCAGTTAGTTTTAACTGGATGTCTTAACCTACCTATGGTTAAAAATGTTTCTTGAACAAATTCATATAAATGTTGTAGTGTTGATAAAATTAGTTTACTAAATAATTAAAATATATCAGGAAAATGGATGAATACAAATAATTGTCTTAACTTTAAGTTTTACAATAGGTCAATAATAATCCACTCTAATGTTAAAGCTATTAACAAAAAATTGGTCCTGCTGATCCCAAATTGTGTACGTTGTAAATAGGTCTGAGAGAGAATACAAAGTGTGCTGACAATCGTCTTCAATATAAATTCACCCAAACGCGATCGACTAATTTCCCGTCTAAATGATGGATGCTCAACTCAGATACATTTTGAATCATTCTAATAAACTATGTATGCCTATAATATAATAATGGTGGAAAATCTATTAACTAATAATTTAAAAAAAAACCAACACAATTAATAACATACATTTTTGAGATACATAATAATATAATATCACTTATTATTAATTTACAATTATTACTAAAAAATTGGTACATTTTAGTATAAAAAAGATAAGACTTCATATTTTAACGTGAATAATAGGTATATTATATTGGTTTTACAAATGCTTAGAACCAAAATAATATTAATATTATTATTATTATTATTTTTTTTTTTTTTTTTTTTTTAACTTATTAGTAACTGTTCACTATACAGTACAGCTTGATAAGTTAATAAATCATTTTAACTTAGCTTAATTAAACAAAAAAAAAAAAAATCAGTTAGTTTATGAACACAACACTTTTTCCTATAGCATAATACAATAGTGGGACTTCTGGTCTTCGAGTGATACATTTGTCAGAGGGAAATCACATTAATTTGAGTAAGTCACCTATTCGAATTTCATTGATATACAATCCAAGTTTAACTCGTAATATTATATTAATTTAATTGGTTTACAATTTAATGCAAGTAAATAATTGCCAGCTTATTTAGGCAATGACTCGTTGAGTTAAACACTTAAAATCTATCAGCTCGTCGATGCACAATCAACATATTTTGTTGAATTAAACCATCAGTTTTATAGATAATTATTTCGATATCAGAGTACAACCACAAGACATCATGTACTTTTAGCTGGTTTGATTCCACATAGGCTACAATATGCATATCTATATAATCTCATTCAAACAATTTATTACATCTTCATACGAGTAAAATGCTGATTTAAGTTTTGACTGTGGTTGTACAATATCATTTTTATTATTTTGAAACGATGTTTGTTTTTTATTAATGAAAATAAACCATTCTAATTTGATACGAATGTGTTTATACTGTGATCAATTACTTGGGAAACTTAAATATAAGCTGATTGACATACGTTATCCCTTATTACAAACCGAAACTTTATTATGTCTTTACTGATTATGTAAAAATATAGTTTACTCAAATTGTATATAAAATATTTTCTTTTTTTCCCTAAGGTATTTATAATATTATTCAATTAAAAGCTGTGGCTGTGTAATCATTTGAACACGGCAGAGATCTTTAACGTAATAATACTTATTGTGAAAACAATAAAATAAAATATTTTAAATAATCTAATGATATTATATTCAATTTTATTATACAATTATATTACACATATTACGTGCACGTATTTTTCTTATATATAGGTACCTAAACTTGATCATTGAATGTAATATTTTAGGGTAGCTAAGTGCATAATATTATATGATCGTATTTTTTATTATAACATATTATTATGTTCTTATTAACATTTAAAATCATGATTTTCAAAAAATATTTTTTTCTATCTTCTTTTTGAAATCATCTTACACGTATTATATAATATTATAAAATAACAATTTCCAGTCGTTAGTGACTTAATATTTGACTATTATATTTTTTTTAACACTATTTCCAATTTTAATACGTAATAATATATTCATGGTATTTAAATGTATTTTATAGTTTAAAATATAACAAATTATTAATATTATACTTAAAATGAAAATATTATGATATTAAAGAGATTTAAAAATATGAACTTCATACGTCATCTTTATATTTGTGGAACAATACTTAATCACGGAGTATAATTAACACGTTTTAACAGTACCCCTATTTAATTATACCCACCAAATTGCCAATATTATTATAAACGTATGTTTTTTTTTTTTTTTAACTGTAGGTTTAACCTACCTATACGATTAGATATTTTAAATAATGTTGGCTTATTGCGTAGTTATTATACATTTAATTTAGGTCACAATTGTTTGTATTATACTCAGGGTTAGACGTCTGTGTACGATATATTGTTAAAACAAAACATTTATATTATAGGCAGAAAAAACGAAAAAAAATATTTACAACAGTCGTACATCAAAACAGAGTATAAACATTGTGCACGCAGCGTGCAAGGACATTTTATAACATTTCCAAGGACTCGATAACTGAAGTCCTTGAGTCCGGATGTCAGCATCTTATTTTCCCGTCGTTGGCTACGTTGTACCGAACGCGGCCGGTCAACGAATAAGGGTTGGGCCTGTTGTCTTCGAGTTCGGAGAACGACTTTCTTCTCTTAGACGTATTTGGTTGGCCTTCTGTGCCCGTTTGTTTGGTGTTCGGTTCCTTCATGCTGATGAAACTCGTCTCTTTGAACCTACTGCAATAACACGAATATTAAATTATTATGATGAGTGTTTGTCGATTTCGATGTTGTATGCATAGGACGCTGCTTATACCGTTAAGATGACGTGTAGTATTATACATGATGATTATTACTATAACGAATCTATAAGAGAAAATGTATAATAATAATATTTTGCTTTAGATTGTGGCCAAAAACAATATAGGTCAAAAATAAAACGTAAACAATTTCAACGTAAACCTATTTTAATTGTGGTGAAAACAAAATTCGAAAAAAAAAATAATGCTCTTTGAAATAACAAGTGTTTTGCTAGCCTTCAAAGGAAAATATTTTTTTTTCACGGACCCACATACTTAAGTACAGTATGTAAATAGAAATTACCAAAGTAATCACCAATAATAGTACTAATCCCGTATGTTCTATACTTTTTACATTTATAACCAAAACGTGTTTGTATTGTTTGTAACAATATTATGGTCAACGACCGTTTGCCCCAATGTTTTCCGAAGGCCAAAAAAGTTGTTTTCGTCGTTGGGGACATGGAAATACATGTTTTTTTACCGTTCTACCAACGTAGGCCAACGTTAAATATAATTTAAATTAAAATGTCACACGTGCTACTGAACTAATCCTTCAACTATCAAGTTTATTTATAAAAAAAGTCCAAAAATATACAATCATTGTAACAACTATAGAATTATATATTATTATTGTACACAGTATTATGAACATTGAATGCATTTCAATAAATAAATCATAAATATTATATTTAATAGATATTTTAGGAAAATGTAACACAATATAGTAAATAGAAATATTATTGTAAATGTATTAATTCAAAAGAAATGGATATTAATTATGGTTATGAATGTATGAAGAATGCTCGCATGCTGTCTAGTTGTCTGTGTATCAGAAACAAAATATAATATGTATTATAGAAACCTACTCAATTTTCGTCCTCATTTTAAATAAAATACGTATTGATTTTAAAAACACATTAGGAAATGTATTTACACGGTATCAAAAATTAAAGACGAGAACATTCCGTGCCTATTATTGTTCCCGTTTTTATTAAAGATTGTGACGGATCAATTAATAAAATATAGACAATATTTTACAGGAAATACCTATAGTGTATAACAATAATACATTAGTCTCAGGTCTACATTTCTGTCTGTCATCTTTTCAATTTTTTTTTTTTTATTATTATTGAACAATAAGATTAACCATTCAACCCTTCTCCAGTTTCCCGTTATCAAGTATAGTTTTATTTTCCAAATCGTCTGCTTTGCTTGACTTCCGGTCAGGTACCCACAAATCGGACAGATGTACACTACACGGCTACCGTATCCGGTAACTGACCCCTTTATGAAAATATCCACTTGATTATGAAATATATACTGTGCTTTCCACCCATTTCGTCCAAAATTTGCTTCCTAGCAACCGTCGTGTCAACTAGTGTGTAGAATCTCACGAGACCCTTTTCCAGCTTTTCGCAGTCCATTATCAGGTTTAGTCTGCCTGAAACACTTACTTCCAGTGATACGACGTCACAGGACCGTTGCTCCTGGCGTTGTCTCCGTACGCGTCGTCGTCGTCCTCGTCGAACCGATTGTTGTCGGCTTCCAGGACAATCTCCGCACCGTTTGCGTCGTCGTCTTCCTCCTCTTCCACATTCTGTTCGTCGTCATCGTCGTCGTCGTCATCATCGTCGTCGTCAACCTCGTCGTCCACTTCGGCATTGTTCGCCGCGTCATCGTCATCGTCATCGTCCTCTTCGTCACCGCCGCTCTCATTGTCGTCGTCGTCGTCATCGTCGTCACGAGGCGCCATCTCGTTGCTGCCCCGGAACCTGCCGAACCGCTCGGCGTCCCTCATCATTTCTGCGTCCACTCCCTCGAACATGTCGTCGGCAGGAAGTGGCGTCACGTACTGTGGTTCCTCCTGGTGTTCGTTTTGCGGCAGCTGATGCATTCCGCCGCTTCCGGCTACGCAATCGCGCGCTCGAAGAACACCATCCGGCGGGGCATTGTCATCCAGCGGATGAGTTGCTCGGTATGGAAGTTGAGCAGCGGGCCTGCCGATCACTGGAGGTTTGAAATCGATGATGGCCGGATCCTGCGAAAATGGGTCACAAACACACACACACTTATTATTACACATTGCAGTGATGGGTCACGGGTACACGACGTGTGATTCATTTGTTTAATGGTGACGGGACACTTCTTGTCAAGAGTGTTTAGGGCGGGTGGGAGGTGGGGAGTCAGTAGTAGTTTCGAAAAGGTATGTACAATTATTTACATTTGGTATTGCGTGCTACTGACAAAGGTGGAAACCACCTCCGCGAATCGAAGTTGCGAATATTGTATACAATATTGTTTTACATTCCTATACCAAACGTACTTGGTACTATTTTTAACCGAAAACAGTAGATTGACTGTACACGTAAATTTTCCTTGCGCTCAGAATCTTTCATGATATATATTATGTCTATAATTTATACAGGGCGCAATTGTGTGAAAACTACTTACTTGTATAAAGAGACGAAGTTTATTGCGGATGTACTCAAACGTAGGCCTGGTTTGAGGGTTTGTTTTCCAACAACTGCCCATTAGCTTATACACAGGTTCTGGACAAATGCCTGGTCTGGATAAACGACCACCTCTCATAACGTAATTCATTGTCTCTTTGTTCGTCATGCCCGTGTATGGCATGGACCCAAATGTCATGATTTCCCAAAATGTGATTCCATAAGACCTAAAAATAAACGTTTTCATTACACATGAGAAAGTAAGTACTTGCAGGATACCCAAAGCCAGTAACTTAAATTGATTGAAATAAAATAATTTAAATACAAGTTTTGGAGGGGTGTTTTTGATAACTTGCATGTCATCACTTCAAGTTTGAATATTTTTAATACAGTATTATTCTTATTTATTTTTAATAATGTAACTTGAAAATTACCTATACCTACCCATAATAAATATTGTCTATGTCTATTGAAAAAAATCACAATACAATAATTTATTATGATTTAGTAATAACATTTACTTGGTTCATTATGTCGGGATACATAGTACATAACAATTAATACCTAACATGCATCGTAAAATATTTTTCGCTGGGTCAAAACGCTTAATGCAAGGTTCCTCGTAAGTTATTATTAGATATATTTAAAAATATTAAATACACATAATCACAATATTTTTTTTATTATCATTTGAAGTTCAAAATTTGACAAATTCGTCAAAATCGGAAAATTTGCAAATCATTTTGTGGTTAAAAAAGTCCAAGATGTATATTATATTATAGCTTTATGGCTGAAAATATAATATAAGATTCCTCATAAACATTTTTTACAGGAACTAAAAAATCTAATGAAATATATGCAAACAGTTTTTTTTAATAGACATTTTAGCTTAAAATTCGGATGATATTTGATATTTAAACGAAGAATAATTACTGTTTTAGTTACTTTGTTGTAATTTAAAAATATTGTTCGTGTTCACTTTAAACGTATATTATATTTTGCACAGGGACATTTTAAATTACAAATGTTATCAGAAAAAAATGAATTCAAGCTAAAATATTATCATTAATTGTAAAATGAATTACTTTAATACAGTCAGTATTATCTATAACGACGGTTAGGGGACAGACCGTGCATATACCGTAAATACGTCGTTTTAACCAAATTTAATTTTGTACATATGTATAAATACACGGAATTTTGCTGGGACCTCTAAATCAACGTCGTCATACCAACTATGTCGTTACGAACGGCATCGTTATAGATTGTACCGACTGTATAGTATGATATAATATCATAAAATTTATACTTAGGCTGACAGACCGTGTCCGCTCTGAATCGTTTTTAGTATGAAATAATTTATCATTGAGTTAAAATTTAACACATCCATTACAGTGACTTACTCAATATAGGTACACTCGACACCTACCATACAGCCATACAGCATATAGTTATGGTTACCTTAATTCCCCCTTTTTAGTTATCTATTTCAAATTATCAAACTGATTAGTGATATATTTTTTTTATAATATTATCGAATTGTTATGTTTTATAATAAAAAATCGGTACTGCTTTTTACCAAACATCGGTTTTTGAATTAAAAACGCCATCTATCAACGACTCTGTCGGCATCCATTTAATGGGCAACATTGCTTGACCGTCTTTTCTGTAATACTCGTTTCTGAAAAAAAAAAAAAAATGAAAAAAAATTTAGTCGCACTATATTATTATTTTCATAAATATTAATACAGGTGAAGCATACCTATATACATCCCTAGACATTCCGAAATCAGCAATTTTTGTTACTCTGCCACGTCCTGTCGTAGATAATAAACAATTTCGGGCAGCAATATCTCTGTGGATAAAATGAAGGTTTTCCAAGTATACGCACCCTTTGGCAATGTCCAATGCCATTTTTAATAAATCTTTTAACTTTATGGGAATGATTTTGTGATTTTGTTGCTGAAAATTGAATTGAACATGTTAGAAAAAATGTATAACTAAATAATTGTAAAGATATAATAAATAGGACAACATTTCGTTTCGTAACAGAATATAGTAATTTAATACTGTATTGTCTTATATTTTACAATAAACCTATAGAATATCAGCATAATACAATTTTGTTATTTTGTTTTCACACAGTTTTACTTTTGTTAGATAATTATAATGGAATAATCAATTATTATATCGCTTATACTGTACGTACGACTGACGGACGATTCTTGCGTAAAAATTCTTTCAAGTCACCGCCACTCAAAAGTTCTGTTACGATGAACCTATAGTTCTTTTCGAAAGTGATTCCGATGAATTTCACAATGTTCGGATGATTAAACTGACTCATTATGATGGCTTCGGTCAGGAAGTCACGTATACAAGATAGTTCAGCCCTTTTGATCCTCTGTATTTTTTCTATTTCGACTTCTGGATTAGGTGTGTTGTCGTCGTCGAATTTCACCTCCACATTGGTCATGTCTTTTTTCGGTTCGAGAGTCTGAAACAACGCCATTCGAATATTGTATACAGTGGTGTATTAGCTCAACCCAAGTATTAAGTATTCCGATCAGACACACGTATTGGCAATGCCTTTTGGTAGTTTGGTACTAACCTTTATCGCGACACGCATTTCGGTCGTTTCGCCCGTTTTTTTATAATACCCACGGTACACCACTCCAAAAGCTCCTTCGCCAATAGATCTGGAAATCACACGTAACGTACATTATAAACTTTGCCGTTTAGCAATCAAAGTTAGAAGTTCCTTTCCACTATAGCACTGCTCGCTGTCTCGAAATCACATTTACGACACCGGTTAAATTATTTTACGCGGAGACAAAGTTACGCGATCCTTATAATATATTATAGTACTGTGACAACTACCATAATTAATCGAATACACCATCGTATTATGGTGACCAAAACTGAAAACAAAAAATTAGATCGACCCCTCATTAAATAACTTAACCGTGGAAATAAATACGATCGCGCCCAAATTACAATGCATATTATAATTTAATTGCACATTACATAAAATTACATAAAATATATATCTGCGCTGACTCAAATAAAAATAATAATTGTATTTTATTAATTTAAACAATTATTTATTTCACTATTATTTTAGTAACATAAATTGTATTTACTTTTGTATTCTTAATTCGTCCCTTAATATCCTTGGAAGATCGTTCGTTGTCAATGTCCTTCCGTTGAAATCATAAGTAGGATTGATGTCTACATTTCCATTTCTATTTCTCGATGTCAAATCGTAATTTAAAATGCCGTTGTGTAGCAAATTTACATTTTCTTTGCGTTCTTTTCGTCTTCGATAACTTCTATCTAAAACCGTATATGCAAAATATTAGTGAAATGTAATGAATCCCATTCACATTGAACTTACACATCCAAATTCCTAAGATCAAGCAAATGATTACAACTGTAAATACACTTCCAGTGATCAAAAATATAATCTTTGTCGTCTCCGTTGATTGATCTGTTAAACAATATAATTATATAATAATCATACAATTATTGTTATCAAGTCAGGGAAATGCATAATGATAATTGTTAGTTGAGTATAATATTATTATGTTTGGTAATAGTTCCTGTGTTCGAAACACATATAATAAATTAGTATAATATATTTTGTGGGTGTCGAAAGGTAAATGTTGTAAATTATTTTTGAGAATGATTTACGATGTTTTTATTTACACCATTAATTCCACCTCGACACCACGATTTTGTGTCCAAGTGCTAATTTTTAGGTTGGTATAAATTAATGTTGAATATATTTACCGAGTGTAAACATTTTATAGGTACAGTTAATAGTATACGCTTTTGATTTAGGGTAAATTAGTTTAACTAACAAAAATTAAACTTGCATAGGCACGGAAAAAGTTTCTGCACCCTCGAATTTCTACCTCGACTATTCTTACTGCCATCGTTATGTTTACGTAATTATTCAATAACTTATGAAAACATGAATATGCATTGATCACACGTCACACATGAGGACCCCAAGTCTATAATCTAATTTATTTTATTTTTTTCTGTTCATTATCTCATCGTGCACAGTTTCATAATTTGGTGTTTTATTAATAAACTTAAACTCAACAAAAACAAAAAGATAACAAATGCTCCGTTATCATCATATCCTAACCAAATATGAGCGGCTTATAAATCATTCAAAATTTGTATTTTTATCCATCGGTTTTGCACCCAAATTATTAAACCTTGCAGTTATGCAATGTCCGTTAAAAGTAAAAACCTTCGACCATTATAAATTATAGAAAATTGACATTTTATAGTATAAATCGAATGATATCTAGGAACTGGTTTTATTGACTATAATGCCGAATTGACTATAATGTAAAAAGTTATCGATGGACCTGTAAAATATAATAAGACTTTCATTCGATTGCATACATTTTGTAGCGATGAAAAATGTGTTTACCGTCAATAGTGTCAGCTGTTGATAGAAAATTAAACAATTATACCATTGTATAATAATGTGAATATTAAATTTAACTGATTATTTACGATAATATTATAGTAGGGTGTTTTTACGCTTATAAAATAAACTTAACAATACCTCTTCCGTCAGAAATAGCGAACCCACACAGTATTCTATAGGTACCCGTCAAAAATGTTCGGTGAGTAATATAAAGATTCAGAGCGTAATATTTCAAATTAATATATTCTTTACTTAATACCTTCGTTGCACTTTGAGGACATTTTTATTCAAATTTAGTTGTGTTTGTTTAGTTTCACTAACAGTATATAGTATTTAAATTTGTTAATATTGTGCATAACGGCGTGTCGGCATGAGAGTTCATGTTATTTTGATGTACATCACAAGTCATACCGACCGGCAGGTTAGGTTATATCTGTTCTTTGATCGTCATCATTACACGTGGAAAACTTTAATACCTACAGTCTAATGGTGTTTTCAGCTTTAAAGTGTGTTCATTATAATTCAAGGTTTTAACGAAATTTGATGAATACTGAATAATAATTTTAAGACTTATGAACATATTTTTTAATGACATTTACAAGTGGAACGAATATACATGCAACATGTATGTAACCATGTATTGTACATCCAGAGACAACAGGTACCTACTATAAAGTATGATTATTATTATTATATTTTCATTAAAAATAGAAACGGAATTATTCCATGAAATCAAACTTGAAAATACACTCTACATAGGTAGAGTACCTACAAGGTTTTGTGTCTTTATTCTCAAATGTTAGCATTTTAATATTTTATTAAAACAAATTCAAACTTCTGTTTCTAATTTCTATTTCAGAAATAATATATTATTGTAGAAAATATTTAAATTTTTAATTGAAGAGAGCTGCCTCAATGCTTATTTTATCAAAATACAAGTTTTATATCAATCTGAAATCTTAAAAAATATATCTATTGCCTCTGGAGATTCACACATCAAACATAACATTAAAATACTGATGTAGAACGAATTTCTAGTATAATTAATCAAATAAAATGGATCATCATTTACTTGAGCCTGTCCAACATTGTATAAATAAACAAATATTCTCACAGGTCAATCAATAATATATTACATTATATTTGGTCTCTTAGTTACTCATAATATAACTCAATAACTGAAATTGTATATTTTTATTTTTATTCTATTTTATTATTATTGTTATCATTAGGTTATTAGTAGACTTTACCTAATACAAGTAAATGGTAATACAAATTTTAGTATGTCACTATTTCTAATTTATGTTAAATAGGTAATCTATTGATAACTTATCATTAATAGTTTAGATAACAAAATGTGTCAGTGAAAACTAAAGACTCCAATACTTAATAATAGCGATAATAATTGAGATGATTCTAAGCATGTTTTAAAACATTTATTTTGAAGAAAAAATTACGTTTCCCACTGAATTATACTGTGTTGGAATTGCTTGAAGGAATTTTTTCAGTAAAATTTCGTTTCTGTCATGCCCTTTTAATCTAATGTGTTTTTTTTTTAATGTAATCATTGTTTAACCGTACATACCTAACTACTGTCTACCCAGATTAACCCGAATAATAACGGTCTAGAATAACTAATAATATGATTTTTTTGTTTTTACACGTTGTAAACTGTAAATCCCTCAGTGAACCTCCAAAAAAAACGGAATTTGAATAAAGTATTTGATTTATATTTAACATAATAATACACTCTTATGATATATTTACTTTTAACATTTATACTTTTAGTTAACAATAATAATATGATATATGAAATAAAAATATCGTGTCCAAGTATAATATTTGAAGCCTTAGAATAATTTTACATTTTTAAGGTATTAATTATATAAATAGTATATTCATAGAAGAATAATAATATCTTTCTAATTTATTATTATAAAAACCTTTTATGTATGTTCCATATACCTATTATAATAATGCCGTTGACACCAACAAATAAATAAATAATTATTGTAAGGTAATTAAATACCTACTTAAAAGTCACTATAATTATATTAATTTAAAAAAGTTTCGCACATTTTATTTTGGTTAATGTATAAATATTTTATTATTTTTTTTTTTTTACAGATATTATATTGTACGATGCAGATGGGGCAGAAACCTCGTAGTGGTCGTCTTGGGCCATCTGGGGGGGGGTGTGTGCGAAGTGAGCAGAGTCCCCTAGTTATATAAACCTTTATATTATGTTCTATGACACATTATAAGACTATAATATGTAAATAGTATTTTCGGTGCAATTTTCGAAATCCTATAATATACGTCAACACGTTCATTAAAAATTACTAAACTAGACTCATAGAACGTATTGGTCTTACCTGACATAATTTATTTTTGTTAAAAAAAAAAAGCATTGAGATTTACTAGAGAGTAAGTAAAGTTTATGTAAAAATTGTTACATTTGGTATTGCGGTGAATAAATACCGAAACATTTGAAGACAATGTGTGTATACCGATTTAACAGGTACAATTATTGGTTTACAGCTGAATTTATTTATTTTACTTTTATAAAAATCGTAAATATTGCATAGTTATTGTGTACTCATAATATTATCTGTTTCCATCTATTGACAAAATTATACTGTTGTAATACTAAAAGAATCGTAAAACGTCTCGACAAGAGGGCGCCACAAATAATGTCTATACCTACTAAATATTTTAACATTTTAGTTTTTCTATAGTTAATATTAACTTTTTAGTTTCATGTAAAAACAGTAGGTATATTTTATTTCCATCATAAAACTGAGTGTTTTAATTTTAATTTAACTAAAATTAATTTTTTATTGAATTCCTATAAAAATTATCATGTATATATACATATATATATATATATATATATTATCTCATTAAGTAAAAATAAAAATCGTACTTTCTTATAATAAGTTGTTAGTAATTGTAATATGCCGCGAGTGATCTATTGAACGTAAGACAGTCATTATTAAAATATCTATTAACGTTTTTGAAAATATTTTCATTATATGGTAATTATTATTTAATTATGTTTAAACTAATTATATTTAAATTGATGCTCGATCCTGTTAAATTGATATTTATTTAAAAGTCTCTCAGTGCACTATTAATTGTTTTATCTCTTTGACCCATGCCCAACATACCATATTTAATTTTAGTAGAACCAACCCTACGTTGTTACTTTTAGTATTAGGGTGAATTCACCTATTATCAAAGTTACCTAAGAACATTACCTGTGTCACTATTTTATGATATTTTAATTTGTACCTGTGTAAGATATATGAGCGTTTAAATTATTAAAATTTAAAAATTATTATAAATTGCATAAAATTTAAAATGTTGTACCAACACTGCAGGTAATAATCCTTACTTAAAATTGTATAATAGGTATTCATTTTAATTTTAAAAGTAACAACACAGGGTTGGTCCTACCAAACTTTAATTTGTTATGTTGCGAGTGTTAAACAAATTGTAAGCTCACATCATCTTAATATTTATACTTTTACATTTAAAGGAAGAAAATTAAATTCTTCGATCATATAATTAATTGAAAAATATCGTAATAAAATTAATATTGTAATAAATGATGTAATTAAAATGTATACGAGTACGTCTTGTGCTTTCGATCGTATAATTTCTATACCTATACTTATATTACACAATATACGATGCATACAATCGCACGAAATGTTTTATACTTTAAGTGTCGTTAAAACAATAATAAAAAACCTGTAATTACGATTTCCGTTACGAATCGTAAAACAACATAAATGCACTACTCTCCACATATCCTATCAATCAAAACGTCCTTATTTTCCATCCAATAAGAATAATCAAGTTCAATCTGAACGAACATTTTCTATTTGTTTCATACTTCAGCCGCAATAGGAACATACACGAAGAATAATGTGTATTAAGCAGGTATTTATTTTACCAGGTACCCATACAATTTTGAGATTCAGAATATTTGATAGTATTAAAATAATTTTTATTCGATACCGTAATCAGTGAAAACAGTAAAGTGGTATCTAAATGTTGGCAGTCTGAAAAAAAGCAGAACATATGTATATACTATATAGGTACCTTAGAGGGTAGGGATCTTGTACAATATATTATGTCTTATTTATCCACAATATACCTAATACCAGACATACCTAATAATATAAAGTATCATGATACTTTTGAAATCCCTCGATATTTCGCCCGACCTAGGCATGAACGCAGTGTTGAACAAGTTGCATCGATAAATTATCGTTGAATTATCGGTTTTGGGCCAAACCAATTTCTAATTCCACGCAAAGTCATATTTTCGTTAGCTAATGATTGCGTATTCCCTACAATTGTACAAACACGGTGGCACGGATAGTTTACTGCATTAAAATAACATACAGGTCCATTGCCTTCAACCCCCTCCCCCCAGTCCCCCACCAAATCGGAATTTGAAATTTCCGTTCAAACCATTCGTATTTGCAGTTAATCGTTTTTAAACATAATAATATCATCAGCTATTTCGTTAGTACAGAGGTCGGTTTGGTGCAAAACAATACCGCTAAATAGTGTACAAGTACTCACATATGCACGACTTGCCGTCGGGCCCGAGTTTGAAGTCGGACGGACATATGCAGACGACCGAGCTGCGCAGCTGATTGGTAGCGGCGCACAGGTACGCGCACCCACAACCCACGATGGCGGGTATGATGTACACAGTTCCGGACTTGTAGTTGCTGCCTGGGTACACCGCCCTGTAGAACACGTACTGGTTGTCCGGCAAATACGACCAGCCGCCCTCGCCGTTCGTCTGGCTGTTGCTCCAAGCCCGACCACCTGAAGTCGGTACGATATATTATTATTATTAGTCGATCATTTTGATTAAATATTTTATTATTATATATTATCACAATAAAATAAGGTTATAAATAAATGGATTTTAACTTCTTATTGGTGCACAAAAATAGAATTATAAATTTGAGTTAGTAGTAGGTATTGTCAGATTGATTGCAACTTTTCAAGGTCCAAACAGCTGTCGTTTATCATAGTGCAAGAATATTATTATGTATTCCTTAAGATAGGTAAATACCGAAAAAAGAAAAAGTCAAAATTATCTATGCTGCTATAAATAAAATTAAAAATAAAATTTATACTTTGGTCTTTGATATAATAAGCCAAAATTTGAAGGCATTTTTTTGACAATACCGTGTTAGGGTTCCTCTGAGTAAATCGGGATCGGTTTTATCATTCTGTAAAGTATCACAGTAAATTATTAGTCTCAAACAACTTATTTCTATTTTAATTTATTTTTTTAATTCTTATTCATTCCCATCAAAATACTTGTTTTAAGTTAACGGGCTATGTTAAATCCTAAAAACAACGATCATGAAATACAAATTTAAACATTTGGAACCTAAACCATTTGAATTTTGGGAACCGAAACCGAAACCAACATTTTAGTTTTTCTGGCAATCAAACCGGATCCGGAACCATGAAAATCATTATAAGGTTTCAGTCCCTGAGGTATAGTATGTTTTATTACGAAAATCTGTTTAGATAACGTAAATAATTGTACCTATATGAGTAAATAATGCTTTAAAAAAATAAGAGGATTTAAAACTGCTCTCCTGAAAAAAAGGTTAATCGGTGTTAATAAGTTTGCGAGATTGTGACATATGACTTTTTTACCTAGGCAATCGATTTTAAAATCTGTAGCTTGAGAATTTCTTTGAAACATTTTTGCATGCTAATAATAATGCTGATTGAATATAGTTAATTTTAAATTATACTTCCTAATAATTTATAGGAGGAACCTACTTATCATAGGTATAACTATTCCGTTTTTATTGGATTTTTTAGGTTCCACTATTTTTATTCAAATATTTTTTGAAAAATAATGACTTAATTGTTATTAACGATGATAGAAAATAACAACGCATTTATTATTAAAAACTAAAATGTATGTTTAATTTTTTTATCTTCTAATCATTTATTATAATCCAACTGAATATATTAAGTTCAAAACACTTATAAATTCATCTACATATTGTAAACAGTGTTATTTATAATATTTGCTCGGAAATTATGTCAAAATCAATATTTTGAAATGTTATCATTTTCTTATAGGCTTTTAGGTATTTTAATATTCATATAGGTACCTAAGTACTAGGACCTACCTATAGGTTGTCTATGTATTATCAAAAAAAATAATAATTTATAGGTATATATTTGTTAAAACAACAACAATAAATTGTCGGAAATGTGTATTAAATTGTCCGAAATTAAAAAACTAATATACATTTTACTCCACAAAATGTAATATACGTAATATTATTGTAAGTCATAATTATTATTAATTTGACTGTTCATTTTTAGTCATGACTGTCCGCAGTAAATAATCATGAAAGTAATTAATATTTTATGAATTACAACACACGTAAGTAATGATACGATAAACTATTATTCTAAAACAAAAATAAGAAAATTTCGTATAAGCAGCAAATTTAAGAAATCTAAAAAACTACCACTCTGAGATGAATAGTACTACAGAATAGCACTACAGACGAATAGTTCATGTTTCACGAAAAAAGAAAATCGTTTACAGTATTACCAAGAGAAATATTATATTATTATAGCCAATGGAAAAAGATGCAAATACATCAAAGAAAATCATCGTACGAAAAATGACCCAGCTAATCCGTTATTATTGCAATCTCAATAATGCCCACAGTCAATGATATTTCATATTAATATAAATTAGTTTTATATTACTTTGTTAAGGTACCTAAGTACATTATATTATTATGTCGGCATAGTTTCCAGTACTTTCCACTATCAAATGCAATCAAAAATACACATTAACGACCCAGCATTTTGCCATCTAATTGGTTAACAAAAGGTCGTAGATAATACGTTTCAAGGGGGTAATAAATTTGTCTGTAAATCATTCCGTCTATTACGTTTTAATTCACAATAGCTTAGGAAATACAAAGGGTTGTTTTATTTTATTCTATAAAAATAAAAGTGAAGAAATGGAAATGAAAAACATTATATTAATTCTGGATCGGATAAAAAAAAGAACATATACCTACTTCAATGCTTTTGAAATCTTGTCAGAGAATCTTGTTCGTGGTAAACACGACTTTTAGAAGTAATGTTAATTTTGAATCTACCATTAAGCGAACCTTGTGTTCTTGTCCGTGGTATAAGAATAGAGATCGAGGATACCAACCGAAATACAACAGTACGAATTCGTTTGGATTTGATCGTTATGGTGACTATAGTAATATTATATGACGGATTTTGGGATTGATTTGATATTGTCTTAATATTATATTATCAATAACCAAAACTATTACTGAGACAATTTCCCGATGATCATAATAAATAGTATGCGTGTACAATCGACGCCTTAAATCAAGACTGCCGATTAATTGATTATAATTATTATTATTATTTTTACTCCGAGTCGGTTATTATATCGTAGTAACATATCCCATGTTATTATAGCAACGTAACTACGACTGTATATTATATATTTTTCGAAAATTGCATAAGATCATAATAAATTATTCGTAGGAATTCTGACAGCATTGATCCAAACGCAATAGAAATAATAAATATAAATATATATGCCGTTTTCGATGACGCCCGTTGTCGCACATACATTTCCGATCTTATTTTATTGCGGTGGAGCTGATTTATTATTTCGCCTTTACTTCGAAACGTGTGGTTGCCGAGTTTCCGAGGTCTTCTCTGTGTTTTTTTTTTTTTTTACATTTATTTATTATTATACCAGCGAACTCCCATTCCTTCCCATCGTACCATATAATATCGTAGACTGGTGTTGGCCTTTGCGTCTACTATTGCCATTTCGCCAACAATTATTATGTTTTACGAGCTTGACGATACGCCTTTACACACTGCCCGCCCGCGCTAGTGTTGGTCGATTTTTAGACGTATATAACCTACTATATTACTAATATATTATTATGTGCTTAGTACAATAATAATATATTTAATTATATTGCTTACCAACTATAACCCTATATTATCTAGAGTCTTGAGTGAAAATAAAATTATATTTATTTTATAATAAATCTAGCGCTTGACCCAATCGGTAAACTAAAAATATATTTGAAATGACGGGGCAATATAATAATAATAATAATAAGTAATCGTTTTTATCGTCGACGATACAAAGATACTATATTATAATATAATGAAATGTACTTTTAATTTAATTTTAATGTTAAAGGCTTGGTATCTGGACCATTGACTTGTATTTTTTTTTAATTATCTCATGTTATTTTTCCTTAATTAAATATACCTAAACTAAATTGCATAGGCTTACATGTTTAGTGAATAATAACAGTTATAGGTATATATGGTATCTTCTTCAAGGCCAAGGAAAGTGTTATCATAATCGTGTATCTGATGGACACATTTTTTTACCAGTGAACCGAAATCACACAATCATTTGGTGCAACGTATAATATTATAAGAATATTTAAATTATAAAATAAATTATTATAAAAAATATTTCCATATAACATTCGCTATACAGTCGATATTATCTCAAATCAGCCGGTTGAGACGTTTCGCGAACGTGTAAAATAGTAGGTATTGTTCGACGGTAGAATTAATTTTAAAAACGGAATCATTAAATGTATAGACACAAAACAAAAATCGTCGAATAAAATGAATCCACCGTAATGGTACCGCATCCGGCCATTCTAGGTTTTGTCGAGACCAGCAGTGCGTGTTTGTCCCCGAGTACATCAACGTCAATATTGGCTTACCGGTGAAACCTCCACCTCCACCGCCGGCAACGCATCCGCCACCACCTCCACCGAACCCGCCAAATCCTTTGGTGTTGCCTCGGCTCTTGTAACACGCCAGACCGCCGACACCACCTCCATCGCTTCCGAAACCGCCAGTCCCCAGCAACGCCGAGCCAGTGGATTTTTTGTCTTCCGTATAGTTTCCGGGGGCCCAACCGCCGCCAGCACCTGTGGTGATACAAAAAATTAATTACTCGAATGATATCAGTTACTCGGGATCCAACAAGTGCGATAACAAATCATCATAATACCTGGTGCGTATGGACAAAAAATCAAATTAAAAAGTAACAGTTCAATTGAGTCACTTTTAGGGAGCATAATTTTGTTATTATATAACGTTAAAAAAAATACCAACAACATATGTTAATAATCCATCTATGTACTATATTACAGGACACACTTAACACCTGCTAACGAATTATATATAATAGTGTTTGATCGATCGAGTGATTTACGTTTGTTGTTTTGAAAAAAAAAAAACATTCTTTTAAGTATGACGTTTATATCTCATTTCCTTGCGTAATTTTAAGTGTCTTAATTTTTTCAACAGGAATCCGCATAACTTTAATTTCGTGTTTTGAACATTTTGATGTATTTATTTATTCCGAATATTGAAAGAATTTATTTAAAGTGTTAAAAGATTGAAGTGTCTGGTTAGGGAACCTTACAAATTGTTTGGTACATTCCTGCTGCGTCTGTCTGAACTTTAAATGTTCGTAAATATTCAGTCAGAATTATTATTGGGTATATTTTATACACCGACATTCTAAGATAATTATTATGACTCAGAAATTTTACATTATTGTTAATAACACTAAAAATGTATAATATATTATTATAAATGGAATACTACAACAGATATAAATTCTTTACAATACAATCCTACATAATTATTATACAGAGGAATAAAATAATAGTTGTTAAATATAATTTATTACTTACATTGCATTACGTCTTTATATATTCAATTTTAGAGTTTTTTTTTTTATAAAACTTTATTAATTTTATTTATTTTGTTCACCAGATTATAATATTGTATAGTTATTCAATATTGCTGTGAAAGCGTATCAATCAGAATTACGTTTAAGTTTAAAACAGAGGTATTAAAATATATAAATGTCATTAATGTTTAATGCTAAATAACGTTTTATATATATAAAATATACCCCAAATTGGAATTAATTGATGAATTTAGGGAAGTATGGTGCAAAATTGATTTATATTCATTAAACATTATAACATACATTATTAATTTGAATAATAAAATACAATCGAAAAATCCCATTTGTGTAACTACTGACTAAAATTGCACAATAATTTAGGCTTAAATGCATACACGATCACATTCCTATCGTTCAATAAATTATACTACCTACTAGCAAATTTCATTGCCGATATTATTTAAAAATAGAAATTAATTATTCAATAACAATACAGCATATTATATTATTATTTTGTTAGTTTTAAAGGTGCGAATAAAGTTGATTGCAATTTTAATATCTCCCCAAATATCCGTAAAATTTAATTTAGGTACCTATATAAGTTGAGTTGGAGAATTGAGATTAAGACTTCGATTTTCTATGCTATAAATTAGGAAATTAATCAAATAATAATACATATCAACGATTATTTAAAATGTTGTTTCCATGATACACGGTATCTGATAAGTGATACAACATAATATATAAGACTTCACTTTGTATACCTATTCAAAACCAAAATTGAAAATATCGATCATAATGGTATCTAAGTAAAAACGAATTTATCTTTATTTAGATAAAAATTCAAATTTATTTAAATATAATTAATTTACTATAATAATAATATCTTTTTTGTACAAATATTATATTGTATATTTTTTTTCGTTATCTGTGCTCTAAACTTCAAGATACTATTATATCTGATAAATTAATAGACGCAGTTAGACATTCTAAGTTAATATTGCAACATAATTTCCGAATAATAACTATATATTTTACTCGAACGAAAAAATATAATTTATACCAATAGATACAGCAATTTTTGTTTCGATTTTAATAAAATATAATATGAAGAGTAGTGAAAGTTACGCCCCATATTTTTTTCTTGTCAATATTATTTTTACTTATTTTTCTATAAGATCCTTCAAGATAAAAAAAATGGGGCTATTTGAGCTTATGGTTAGGTTATTTAAGGATAACAAGAAATTATTTGTTTTGTTGAAGTCATTGAGATTCATTTACATGTTCATTCACACCTAACCTACTAACGTACGACCACCCACACATGGGAATTATAATTAACAATACAATATGCTAAATGCTAGTGTGTAATATTATAACAAAATATCCAGAAAAAAATTGTACTCGCATTTTAACTGTGATAAAATAATATTATTATATCCCATCATTGCATAATATTGAATTCGTTGTACTTATATCGTGCATATCGGCTTAACTTGACTGACTGTTTGCTATCCTTACCTAAGTTCTGGTAACAAATCAATTATTAAAATTAAAGCTAAATTTCTTAATATGGAACGCCTTATTATAAAATATTGGATGATATGATTGTGTTGTACTATGTTTAATTTGTAGTTATTAAATTGATGTATTGTGTAGCTGATATCAAAAATCCAGTTCATAAGACAATTAATGAGAACGTTCAAAGAATCAAAAGCCATGAATGAATTACCTACGTTTTAAGGTAGAACTTGAACAATAATAATATTGTCTGAGAAATTGCCTGTTAATCATAATTATAATGTTATCAGGTAAAACCGTCTAGGACGTCGTCTAGATACTGTGCACAATATTGAGTTTACTTGGAAAGTGGAATACAAACAATCCGTTTATTTAATTACAATATTATAATTAAATGATTGGAGCAGTAGGTAGTTAAAACGACTATAACGAATAAACATTACGAGAGCAACGAACAAATTAATATAAACTTATCTTATACGTAGGTGGCATAAGAATTCAAATATCTGTCGCAGTCTAAACGCACCTACCTATATTAAAGACGTCATGCTAATTATTATTTTTTCAACCAATATAATATAATGTAATATATATACATCTGTATATTATAATATCTACATTTGATAGAAAAAAAACAAATATTCACCGATTTCCAATAAATAATATTCTGAAACAAAATCTCTATTATTAATTAAATATCTTACATTCAAAGTCATTCGGATTTCACAGACAATTAATATAATAGGCACTACACTACTATATTGACTAGGCTACTATTGACTTATGTCGCGTTTCAATCGAACACGTTAATTATTATTATTTGTTCTCACCATCCAATGATGAGCCTATTAACATCATAACTATAACTTTTTTAATTCCATTGTTAATTAAATTAATTGTTTTATTTTTTTTTTTTAATTTAAAATTAGTTATAAATCGTAAAAAAAACACAGTGTATAGCAGTGTGTTTAACAAATTCAATTTTTTATTATTAATTTTTTAAAAAGACCATATTATATATTATTATAATTTATATTAAAGTTATAAGCTATTAGTAATAGGTACTTGAAAAATAATTTCCAACTTTGGGCCATTTAAATCGGGATGAGGGTATTATTCGTTTTTCCATATTGTGTTATAATTTATATGATATTAGGCAGAGAAAAAAGTTGTATGGAAGTGGCCAATGTGATAGTTTTACAGACCAACATTTTTCATAAGTAGATAATATGCTTAATAAATTAGTATATGTTTTACAAAGTCAATACCAAACTTAATTTAATTTAATCAATTAACAGTTGAAACCAAATCTCTTGAATTGTAAAAAGTCCCAAAATATACAACCATTACAAATCACAATAAAGCTATAAACAAGTTGAACGGATACAAAAAAATATTTATTGCATTTACGATGTTTTTCATATACCTACCTATAAAAACAATAATTTTTAATGCGAAAACATTAATTGAAGCAATTTTAGCCATACTACAAAAGAAAAATGAAATGTATTATCAGTAGACTCTTCTTGCAGTAAATTATTATTTTTTTTTAAATGGAATTTGAACCTATACAAAAAAAACTTTAATTTATTCTTGGAAATATTAACAGAAGTATTCAGAAAGTAACTATTTTCGTCGATCTTTGAAATTTGATTAAGTTTATTTGTATATATATAAAGCATCCATATACTAATAACTAAAGGAAATTCGTAGTTCAAATAAATGGTGTACATTTCTTAATACTACAATCAGGGACTGGCACCTTTTGAATTTATCGATGTCGGTTCCAGTACTGGTTCTCCAAAAATAAAATAACTGTTCCGGTTCGATTCAGACAAAAAAAAATAAAGGTATGGGTTTCAAATAATTAGGTACCGAAAAGTAGGTATAATAATTTTAAATACGTATCCAGAAATCGGGTTTAAAAAGATAATATTAGAAAAAGAAAAAGAAATATTAGAAAGCCCATATGATCATTCATAGTTTATACGAAAAACAGTACCTAATACCATTAGGTTTTTAGTATTTATTAGAGTAATATTGATACATTATAATATAATCATGTATAATAGTCATAAACTCATAAAGTCATAACACATTACCTTATAGCATTTTTAACGGAAAGGAAATCAACAAAACTAAAATAAATATTTAAAAAAAAAAACCGCCATAAAATGTGATATAATTAAAATACGATCGAATTTAATTTCATTTTACCATTATTTCGCAGTTTTTATGATCACATTCGTAGTGGAATTTTTTAATTTCGAAATACCTTTTATTATAGCCATTGCGATTTCAAAATCGTATTTCAATGGCTTTCTATCTTTTGTCTTTTGATTAAAATTTAAAATATAATAATACATATTTTATGACTTGTTACCCACATTAAAGTATTTTATTTATAATATACATCTAAAATATAAGTATGACTAAAATATTTGATACAAGAGATGATAATAAATGATATAATTGTTCAATCTTCAATCGATAATCAATAACAATGATAACTTATAATATTGAAACCTTCTTTCATCACACTTTACCAATTCATATTTTCCAGCTCATAATTTTTCAAACAAAGAATATTTATTTAAGACAATTATTATCTAAGAAATATGGTGCGGATATCACACTCAAATTCTATAATTATTCAATGAGATACGACCGTTTAAAAATGTACGTTTGACGACAGAACCGAAGTCTGAAGGGTGGCATATGTATTTAGTGTAAAAGTGTCAACAAAGAAAAATCGGTAAAGATAATACTTGGAATTGTTTTAGATTCTGAGCGGAGCGATGAATGTATTGGTTTTACAATGATGTATGTTTTTTTTTATTTATATTTTTATTTATA